GGGATTATCAATTTATGTGTTAAACGGTCATGAGGTCCGGGCGATTCTGTCGCTGGAACATTTCCAGATACCATGTCTTTGTTCTGTTGTTTATTAGCTGGTTTATTTATGCTGAAGCCGGTCACGAAACACACTGACATTCTGTTGCTTAAACGAGTCTAGATGGGGGGTGGGGGGTGGGGTCCAGTTATTGCTGTCCTAATGCTTGTCGACCCTGGAGGTGGTTTGGTAAATCACTCTCTCCTGGTGTTTCTTGTACAGATAAGCAGAGCTGGACAGGAACTCATTTGAGACAATTGGCGCCTGGCTGACCGTGATTCAGCTTTACGGCTCTCAGATGGTTGAGAAGAGATGTTAGTTTCCAAGTGGAATGTGGAGATTCCTCTCGTTCATTTGTGTGATGTTCGCAAATGCCTTACAGGGTACTTTCCCCAAAATGAAAATTCTGTCATCAATTACTCACCCTCATGTTGTTCCAAACCTGTATGACTTTATTTTGCAGAAAACAATATAATAAATTGGGAAGAATGTTTACTGATTTACATGTACAAGGAAAAATTAAGACTTTCTCAAAATATATTTAATGTTCCAAAGAAGAAAAAAAGTAATGCAGGTTTGGAACAACACGAGGGTAAGTAAATTATAAAATAATATAAAATTTTTGGGTGAACTATCCCTTTAATGTTGTATCACAGCTTTCATGATGGTAATGCATTCCTGTTCCCCTTCAGGAACTCGAGCTGCGTCGAGATCACTTTGTGAATGCCCTTGCGTGACCGCGTTCTGAAGCACGTGTCAAATCCGTCCAATGGAGCAGCGAGACGTCACGAGCAGGGTGACGTAAGCACCAGAAAGCATAAAAGTGCATCCAGCCGGTCAGCTTTCGAGCAGCTGATTGTCATCCACTGCGAGCTCTCGCTGCGCACGCTCCGCTCTCGCCTGGCTGCGTTTGATGAGAGCGGCCAGGCTTGCGATCCCGCTGGCAGCAGTCCCGCTGTTGCCGAGGCACAGCGCAGACTGTTGTCGTGGGGATCGCGGGTGGATTTAGCAGAGGGATCCGAGACGGGCTCGTCCTTTTCTCGGTCCTCACCCACTAGATCCGCGGCTCTCTCTCTCACAGTTCGGAAACCCGCGCTGCGGTTTCTTCCCCCCCCCAGAGAGAGAGCCAGACGCTTCATCTATCTTCCTCCGAGGAGGTGGATGTGATGAGTGTCGAGACAGAGGACACTGTGGACTCACCACCACAGTCCCTCGCGTATGAGGTGTGATTCGTGATTATGAGGTGTGTTTCGTGCATTCACCAAAATAAAATATCATTCGGCCAGCCTAGAAACAGGACGCTCATCCTAAAAATAATTAGAGGAGCATGTTCTGAATCCAGATCACAGCCTTCACGACGGGGGCCTTCCGTTTTACACATCGGTGGTCTCCTACATCAATCAGCAGGGGGGGTCTGCGTTTGCGCCCCTTGTACAAGCTGGTTCTCGGACTTGGTGTCCTTCCTCGATGGCTCTCCGCTATAGATTCTGATCAGGAGGGACCTCCTCTCTCAGGCAGGGGGGTGCCATTCTTCAGCCCCGCCCGGAGTTATGGAAGCTGTGGGCATGGCCCCTGAGGGGGCAATCAAAGCTGGTTTGCGCCCGGCCAGATGCACTTTTATGCTTTCTGGTGCTTACGTCACCCTGCTCGTGATGTCTCGCTGCTCCATTGGACGGATTTGACACGTGCTTCAGAACGCGGTCACGCAAGGGCGTTCCCAAAGCGATCTCGACGCAGCGTCTCGTTCCCTCGGGGAACCATGGTTACATACGTAACCTAGAGACGTTAGTTTCAAAACAAATACTTTGGGTTTTCTTAAAGTAACTTTCATCAACATTATTCTCATGTTGTTTGTTGATTTTGACCAGTGCATATCTCACTATGGAGTAAATAAGCACTTCACACAGATGCATAATTATCATGAAGATGGATGATATGACAGCAGTGGGTAAAACAATTTCTACAAAATTGTCTTAGATTTGATTATCGAACAGTCTGTCTGGATGGAATACTGTGATGTGTTTGTTTATATTGATAGTAACTTACAATATGTTGGTGCTTATGAATTATTCAGACATATTATTTTATAAAGACAGTTATATGATTCATTAAACATGACATTATCCTACTAAAGTTTAAAATGTTATGTTTTCAATAAATTAATTAAAAAAAAAAAAAGTAAGCAAGCAACCGCTTTATAGTGCATGCTCCTCTATTCCATTTAAAAACAAAATTCATTCCCAATTAATTACGGTAATCAGAGCAATATACACTTCCAAATGTATTTTTTCCCAGTGCAGCCTGAATAATTACACACTAACATTTGGTATTGTTTTAATGATGCATCCTGCTGAGATTTAAGCTTTGTAAATAAAGCAATAATTTCTGCTCTGTTCTATTTTCTTCCCTTTTCCTCCCAGCTATCTCTGTTCCCAGAACAATGGGGAGTGATGTTGCCTCCTCTCAATTTCCTCTTAACCTCTGTTGGCTGCCACTATGCCAGTCATCATAAGTATCCTTAGTATCATCAGTCACCCTTCTCACTCTTCTTCTATCTTAAAGCAGGTGAGCTCTGGCCCCATGTTTTACTCATCTGTCCCCAGCCTCCTTCATGCACTCCTTTACTCGAGAGGCTGTGTTAACAGATTGCCAAAAAGCTGAATGTCAAGCTCCTGCGACACATGTCCCCTGGTCAGAGTAATGGTTCCCCCCATGGGAGAGGAGCTCTTACTCATCACAGAGACTCCCTGTTTCATTGTCGGCTCCCTCTTAGCCCATTCAGTGTGATGAGAGGTCACAAGTTAAATGGCCAATCGTGGGATGGAGATCTTGAGGAAGGTTTTCACTGGTTAAGTGAAGTTAATAGTTTCAAAAAACAAGGTTCAAATGCAAGTAAAAATTGTTAGCTCTCACGCTCTCTCTCTCTCTCTCTCTCTCTCTCTCTATATATATATATATATATATATATATATATATATAATCTTAAAGTCATGCCATTGCGCCATTGCATACTTTTTTAAAACAATATTTATTTGTATCGTGGAAAATCTCAAAAATATATCTAAAATATATATATATATATATATATAATCTTAAAGTCATGCCATTGCATATTTTTATACTTTTTTAAAACAATATTTATTTGTATCGTGGAAAATCTCAAAAATATATCTAAAAAACTATACCGTTTTTACTTACAAGCACTGAACTTAAGTGCACTATACTACATTTACAATGTGGAATGCTCATGCTCACACACACACCCCACCCCTAAAAATCACCCATAGAAATCAATGGGGAACTATATACAAATTGCAAAATATTGCAGAATACACACAAAACTGAAGGGGTGACATCATCAGAAATGAGAATCAGAAAGAGCTTTATTGCCAAGTATGTTTGCACATACAAGGAATTTGTTATAGTGTCACAAGCTTCCAGTACACGGAGACAACAACAACACACAGATAATAAAAATAAGATGTGAATAAAATACACATGCATAAATATAAACCACAAAAAAAGAATAAATTGTATGTACAGGTGTGCTATAGATAGAATAGGAATAGAATCAAATAAAATAAAGTTGTAGGGATGTACTAGGATTTAGGGTGATAAATAAGTATAAGGTTAGTGCACATATTTTAATTGCACAATGGGAGAACATTAACTGTTCATGAGGTAGATTGCCTAGGGAAAGAAGGCAATCATGATGGGGTAAACAGATAAAAACATTACCCACGACCCCCACATCCACCACATGTGTATACAAATTTGTAGAAATTGAAGCAAATAAATTTTCAACATACCCTAAATCCCCCAAAACTGCACGACTGTAGAGTAAAAATAGTAATAAAGTGCATGACATAATATGGGTTAAAAAAATCACGATCATGTTACAAAATCACATTTTAATGTCTAAAGTCAAAAATTACCCCAAACATCCCCAGTGTACATCCTAAATGAACATCGCAAAAGGTACTATCCCTTCACCAAAATGAAAACATAAGGATCATGGAACAAAATCATGCACCCTCAGTCAAAACTTCACAGACCGGGTCAAATGTATTTGTGGGGTGAATAACACATCCATATGTTTGCATAAAATAATGTCATGCTCTGCATTTTTACATCAAACCCAGCAGTGCTGATGCAGTTTAAAGGCAGAGGTCAAAGCACGCAATCTGCTTCATGAGTAAATACCACAAGATCCCAATCTCTTCAGTTGAATTTTAAACCTCTGTCTGTTTTGCTGGGTACATGGTGCTCTTTG